CTATACTGACGTTTGTATTCCACGCTCGCGAGAGATTTTCCAACAACGACCAAGAGCTGCCCAAGAGCGCTATTTATAGGCCTCTAAGGCCAGCTCAAGAGTCATTAGCAATTAATGTGACCGTTACAATTCTTAATGACAATTAATATTGTAACATTAATATATTAAATTGCTCTTAATACTGTTGTAACTGCTGCATGCAGTAACTGCTGATTATGAGGCAATCAATGGAGGTGTTGCTACGAAACGCGAGGGTCACATCTCAGCAAATCAGACGAACCTCGTTTGACAGACGAACCTCGTCGAACGAACATAGTCAAACAGGCGAACCTCGTATGACAGACGAACCTCGTCGAACGAACATAGTCAAACAGGCGAACCTCGTATGACATACAAACCTCGTCGATCAAGCGAACCTCGTCAAACAGGCGAACCTCGTATGACAGACGAACCTCGTCAACAAGCGAACCTCGTATGACAGACGAACCTCGCCGAACGAACGAACATCGTCAAACCTGAGAACCTCGTATGACAGATGAACTTCGTCGAACGAGCGAACCTTGTCAAACTACGAGAACGCTAGGGTCACCCTCGTGCGAATATGTAGCTCGTCCGCATGCTACGAAGCAGCCAACGTGGCGCCAAACAGCGCCACCTCGCCCCGATGCCTCCGTGCGAAGTACGCCTAACAAAGCGCCACTTAACGCCTCAGCCCGATTAGCCCTGGCCCCCGGCCCACTAGAACTTATGAGGGATTAATTCAAATAAAATATTTCTCGGCTTGCGTTGGCAAGCCTCGAACAAAGGACCTTTTGAAACACCAAAACATTAACTTTCCACTAGGCTACTAAGCATTTATGAAAAATACTTGTAGTTAATATATATATAGTTTGAAAACTCATTTTGAAAAGCAGTTTTGACCAAAAAAATCCAACAGTTACTACCATATTGATTGACAAATCCATTATATATTTGTTTAGGTCTCTCTAGAATTGTCTCGAGAGCCCCAATTTGTTCTTTATTTACTTTTAAATCAATAAATTCGTCAAATTTGATTCGGTTCTTGTATTTATTCAATCTTATGCATCTTGTGTAAATAATATAGTTTTAATTAATTATTCATATCACTTACTTGTAAATTTCCTAATTGAGGGTAGTTCAAAGGAACGTAATTAATGATTTTAGTTTTAGACTAATTTTAATAGAATTCGTGTTAGAATTAGTGTGTTTCCAATTTCCGAAGTAAGAACCTGCTTGATATTCAATCCACGTCCTGCACTTGTTAAGTCATTTATGTGTTATTTCATACAAAAAATGAGATATCGGGTAAGTTTTCATCTTTTGTTTCGAGATATTATGTTCAATCAGACATGGTTATTTTGACCTAATCATCTAATTTTACACCCATTTCTTTTTAGACCAACTCATTAATTTCCAAAATCACTTTTAGATATCTCTTAAATTTAGTTCATCTAACAATTACACCAAAACTCCGAAGTTAACTATATATTACAATTGTTTGACGTAGGGTCAAAAATGAGCGGCTCTTCAGCGCTGGTTAGCAGGCGATTTCGTTTTAGCTAACTTGCGCTCCCGCTGAGATTTAGATGGCAAGAACTAGGAAAAATCAAGGGAAAAAATTATTGAAATTTGGATTTAGTGCCTCAAATCTGAGTTCTTCTTCTTTGATTGATCAGGAAACTGGTTCGATTGAGGAGGGGGATGATTTCTTGATTGAAATGGGATCTACGGATCCAAAGGGAGAAAAGAAAAAGAGACCGATGGATGAAGTTTTGAATGATCCAAACTCAAGATCTTGCTGGAATCATCCTCAGGAGGTTAGAATTTGTCAGCTCAATGAGCATTCTCCAGGTGAAATTGGAAATCATCAGCTTAATCCCTTAGCTGGTGTTGTTCGATCTTATCCTGAAATCGAAAGCTGTAAAATCAAGGAATCTGTTCTTCCTGGTGATTTAGGCTTTGAATCTAAGAAGATCAGTATTGCATCTCCAACGCTTAGTGCTCAGAAGATCAGCTGTCCCTCTTTTTCTAGTTCGAGTAAATCTGGTAAGGTTTCTTGGGCCGATGAAGTAGAATTTGTTGTTGATTCATCATGTCGACAAGAAAATTTGAATTCTGCTACTTCTTTTGATAAAAATCTGCAAAATCTGAATGCTCTTCTAGAACCTATTTCTGTTCCATTGGTTTTAGAAAAAGATAAAGAAGAGATTAAGGACAATTTTGATGTCAAGAAATCCTGGGCTAGTCTTTTTGCTGATAATAGAAAAACAGGATGTGGTATGAACTTGAAGTTTGTGAATTCTGAAAGCAAAGATTGTGTGGTCTTTAATGAGGAAGAATGGAACGAAGGTACTTCAGACTGGAAATTTTCCTTGGTTGGGCAAGTCCTAGGTCTAAATGCAAAGTTTAAAGCCATGGAAAGCTATGCGCATAAAGTTTGGGCTAACTGGTCTATACCTGAAGTATGCCTCCTCAAACCTGGATTATTTTTGTTTAAATTCAAAAATCAAGATGAAATTCAAAATATCCTTGAAAATGGACTCTGGTTCTTTGGCTCCAGACCTCTCTTGTTAAAAGCCTGGACTAATGAGGAAGATTTGGAGAAGTTAAGTGAGAATGTCTATCCTGTTTGGATTCAATTGCCTGGATTAAGACTTAATCTGTAGAGCCCTAATGCTATTAGCAAAATTGCTAGCCAAATTGGGAAGCCTATTACAACAGACAAACTTACAGCAAGCAAGCAAAGATTGGCGTATGCAAGAGTTTTAGTGGAGGTGACTATGCCTGCTCCTCTTCCTGATTCAATCTCTATTCATGGCCCTAATGGGAAAATTATAAAGCAAAATGTGGTTTATGAATTGAAGCCAAAATGGTGTGATAGATGCAAAATTATTGGTCATGATACAAATTATTGCAAAAGACATCCTAGGACCCAGAGATGGATTCCAAAGCAAAAGGAAGTTGTGAAACAAGCTGATAATGTGGAAAATCAAACAAAGGTATCTGGTCTTATTGTGCATGCACACTCTCAGGTGGTGGATAGACCCAGTAGTAAAGAACCTCAAAAATCTCCTGATAAGAACACTGTCAATTCTGGGCATGTTCAGGATTTTCTTTTAGAGAAATCAGCTGAGGTGAGACACTCTGAAAATGTGTCAAGAAATGTGCATGTTGTGCACTACCAGGACATTGGTTCAGAGCATTCAAAAGGGAAAAAAAATTTTTCAACCATATAAGCCTTGGCAAATTCCTGGAAAGCAGGGTAGTCCATCTCTTGACAATTCCTTTGCTCTTCTTATCAGAGATGAACTGGACCCCTCAACAGTGGATAGGGGGGATATACCTATATGAATCTCTCCTTCTGGAATATTAGAGGATTAAATAAATCCTCTAAACAACATCTGGTTAGGCAATTTATTTCTCAATGCCATCTTTCTTTTTTAGCTCTCATTGAAACTAAAGTAAAAAATAGTAGATTGTCAGACATTTCAAGAAGGGTTGCTGGCAACTGGAAATGGTATTCAAATGCTAATATTACTGGCAGAGCAAGAATTTTGATTTTATGGGATTCAAATTCTCTGGAAATTAACATTGTCAGCCACTCAACTCAACACATTACCTGTGGTGTTAAATCCCTAGATGGCAGACTTGATTGCATAATTTCATCTATATATGGCCACAATCATTTGGAGGATAGGAAATCTCTATGGCATGATCTGTCTCAAATTCATCAAAATATTGGAAATATGCCATGGTTGCTCTGTGGTGATTTTAATGCTATAACTGGCAGTGATGAAAAACTAGGAGGGTCTGAGGTGTCTGAGGCTGATACAGTTGACTTCAAGAAAATTATTGAAGATTGCCAATTATCTCATATGAAAACAGATGGATGCTTCTTTACATGGAGCAATAAACAAGATTCAAATACAAGAGTTTGGAGTAGGCTTGATAGAGCCTTGGTAAATGACAATTGGATCAACAACTACAACTCCAGTCATGTTGAATTTCTTCCTCCTAATTGCTCAGATCATTCTCCTGCATTGGTTTCAGTCTTTGAAAATTGTGCTCAAGGTAAAAAAACCCTTCAAGTTCTTCAAGATGTGGATTAAGCACAATAACTACTTACCTTTAGTATCAGCAGTCTGGCAAACTTCTGTTCCTGGTTGTGCTATGTACTCTGTTGTTAGTAAATTGAAGGCTCTGAAAAAATCTCTGAAAGAACTAAATAAAAGAAGTTTCTATAATATCAGCGAACAAGTCATCAGAGCTAGGAAAAATCTGGACAATGCCCAGGGCTGTTTGCAAGGGGATCCTCTTAATCCTGTTCTGATCAAACAGGAAAAGGAATGCATTGCTACTTTCAATAAACTTCTGGACTGTGAGCTATCTTTTTATCAGCAGAAATCCAGAATTCAGTGGAATATGAATGGAGATAGATGTTCTAGATTCTTTCATTCTGCTATCAGAATAAAAAAGCATCTTAACAGAATTAATGTACTCTATAACACTGCAGGGGAAAGACTTACTGAAGGAGAGGACATCATTAAAGAAATAACTTCTTATTATGAGAATCTTCTGGGTACAACTTCAACTACATCAAAGCCAGACTGGAATATCATTAAAAAGGGTCCATGCATAAACAAAGAGCAGGCAAAAAAGCTCTCATCTCCAGTATCCAAGATTGAGATAAAAAATGCTGTATTCTCTATGTCAGAAGATAAAGCACCAGGTCCTGATGGTTATAGCATGTCCTTTTATAAATCAGCCTGGAATGTCATTGGTGAAGAGGTGACTCTGGTCTGGCCATTGAGGAATTTTTTAAAAATAGGAAACTCCTAGGTGCAATCAACTCCACAGCCATCACCTTGATTCCAAAGGTCAACTGTCCCAAAACCCCAGCTGATTTTAGACCGATAGCTTGCTGCAATTGCTTATACAAGATGATATCTAAAATTTTAGCTGACAGGCTAAAGCCTGTAATGGGGTATCTGGTAAATCAAGCCCAGAGTGCTTTTGTGAGAGGGAGAAATATCTCAAGTAATATTTTGATGGCGCATGAACTAGTGAAACACTATAACAGAAAGCATATCTCTCCCAGGATTATGCTGAGCTTAGACATCAAAAAAGCTTTTGATACAATAAATTGGAATTTTCTAAATGATATGCTAACTGGCCTGGGATTTCCTGAAAAGATGATAAACTGGATTATGGTATGTATATCTTCACCAAAGTTCTCTATTTCCTTAAATGGTACATTGCATGGTTATTTCAAAGGGAAAAGAGGGTTAAGGCAAGGAGATCCTCTCTCTCCTTATCTATTCATTTTGGGAATGGAGTATTTGTCCAGGAGCTTGGATATGCTACAGGAAGACAGGTCTTTTAAATACCACCCAAGGTGTAGTGAACTGAAGATCACCCACTTAATTTTTGCAGATGACCTTCTTCTTCTTTCTAAAGGGGATTTACTTTCAGTAAGGAAACTATTCAAATGTTTTAAAGACTTCAGTGATGTTTCTGGTCTTCAAGCAAATCATGAAAAGAGCAGGATTTTCTATGGTGGAGTTGATGAGGAATTTAAAAGCACAATTACTACATTCCTGGGATTTCCTGAAGGTAGCTTGCCTATAAAATATCTTGGGGTACCCATGGTTTGCAAAAGGCTCTCTTTCACCGACTGTTCTCCCCTCCTTGATAAAATATCTAGACAATTTCAGTTTTTTTTTGAAGAACAAAGGGCTGTCATATGCAGGTAGACTGGAGATTATCAAAAGTATTGCTCTTGGTATTCAAATTTATTGGCAATCTAATTATCTCTTGCCAAGGAAAGTGCTTCAAAAGATTGATGATATGTCCAGGGATTCCTTATGGGGGAAATATGATCAGGCTCACAAAAATCCTCTAGTTTCGTGGGACAAAGTCTGTTTGAATAAAAGAAATGGTGGGCTAGGCATTTTCTCAGCAGCTATTTGGAATATGGCAGCTACCCTAAACATCCTTTGGAACATTCATGTTAAAAAGGAGAATTTATGGATTAAATGGATCCACGGTACATACCTAAAGCATAATGCTGATATATGGCAGATTCAAGCTAAGAATGGGGATTCTTGGATGTGGAAACAAATCTTGAAAGTAAGAGATAAGGCTTTGGTCTCTTATGGTGGAACTGATGTAGGCATATAAAATTGCTTATAGGTCCCTTAGCTCAGCTCGGCACAAATCGACAAACCAATGAGGCAACGAGATTGACTAATCGCACGCAAGCAACGGAATACGTCCATTCGCGTGCGGGATCAAGCTAAGTGTTCGAAGAGTCAACAAGTCATCCAACCAAGGGCATACTCAGACGAATCACGATCGAATCAAGATCGGTTTCAGACTCAAATTCAGAAGTGGATTTACTGCCTAATCGGGATCCGGATTTACTGCCAAATCAGGTCAACAAATCGAATCCGAACCTATTAACCGCAGAACCGGAAAATGGGCACAAAAAGGTAAAACGACAAATACCTGGGGGTCGGCTCACCGAGCCACCAAGGAGGCTCAGTGGCCGGCTAGGCTCAGAACTGTGCAAATGCACAGTTCTGAGTGCCTATAAATAGGCCTTGTGCTCATTTGTTTCAGAGGTTGGAAATTTTGGAGAGAGGCGAAGCCCTGCTGGATTGAAGACTCAGATCTAAAAAAGATCACAACTTTGAAGGCTTGGAGACTTGGACTTTCAGATCCGGTGCTCGGCGATCACCAACGCCAAATAAGGCAGGAGTTCGAGAGGATTGGATTTGAGATCTACACGATCACACTCCGGATCTAAGCTTGGTTCTTAGATCCCGAGATTCGAGCGGTTGTTTCCTTGGTGAAACAATCCCTCCCGGCTATTATTCCCTTGGTGGAATATTACCCGTCATATCGTGTAGATCCGACCGGATCGAGATCACGCGGTGGTCCACGGCAAATAACCCCGGCGCAGGCAAAGAACCCACCAAAGCGAGCGACCGCAAAACAGGAGCTCGCGATTAGTTCGACAAATAAGGAAAATTGTAATCTTTACTTTGTTTTCTTTGATTTTTCATTGTAACCGGATCTTATAAAAAGACCGGATCTTTGTAACGCATAAAGTTGTTAACTGAGATAGCAATGATATCAACAATGAAGAAAGCTACGATTTTTCCCGCGAACAATCTGGCGACCACAGTGGGAGCCAACAGCTTTACTGCCGAAGCTGTCGCGTCGCAGCCGCGGATCCCGATCCCGGTCGAGGAGGAGGTCGAGTACGAATTCGACCAACAAAAGTTCGAGGAGTATCTGTCATCCTCGTCCGAATCCACCTCCCCTCGCAAGTCCAAGTCTCCAAAGCTCTCTTCCAAGAGAAAACTTCGTTGGTACGAAGAAGTTGAAGCTGCCAACGAAGATCTCGCCCCGTTTGATGCCGAAGCTGCATCGGGTGAGATCTCTCCTTCCAACCAGGTCAGATCTGCTCTGGCCGAATCTTCCGTTGCCGAGGGCGTAGTGACTCTCTCAAAGAGAGCCCGCCAAAGGCAACGTCAGCGCCTTGCGAAACAAATCGCAAAGGCAATGGAATCTGTGGACGGGATCCGTTACAACACGGATCTGAAGAACAGAAGAGGCGAACGACCTCAACAACCAATGAATGGCAACTCCTCCAAGCCACCAACGAACGAATGGATCCGTGTCAAACGGAACCGTTCAACGCTGGAGGATCGCATTCAGAAGCGCCGCGCACTCTCAGCACAAGCACGAGCTCAAGTTCAAGAAGCCCGTAGAAGGTGGCAGAATGGAGTAGCCAAGAAATCACCACTAACTCACAAAATATGGAGGCCAAAGTCCAAAGTGGTGAGTCAGGCCGAGGATCGACCTTTACAGCCTTCAAAACGAGTTCAACCTCCCGAACCATCCCGAGGAAGGAGGTCAATCTTGGAGCGCCTCGGTCCAATTCCCGACGAGCGCAACGAAGTCCATGAACGCTCGGGCCCGATGAAGAGGCTCCGAACTAATCAACATGCTGGGGGTCGACACAACCCTCAACATGACAAAGAGTTTACGGCACCCAAGCGCACTACCTTGCGCATCGAAGTTCGGGAGCCCGCTGAGAATTCATGTCTACAAAGGCGTGTTTCGAGGCGAGTGACTCTCGGAAGTCCAAATAAGGCAGTTTGCTCTCAGAAGGAAACGTTGTCATCCGAGGATGATAACGTTATACCTGGGAAATCATGCCAACACGCGATAGGTTACTCCGATCAAATGGACGAGTTGTACTATCGTGCTGGGGGTACGAACAAAACAAGAAAAAGAAGCCCTCAAGGGCTCGAAACTCAGTGCCCATGTGCCAAGCTCATTCGGGTAGTACTGTCTCAATGCAACTGCATCAAGGGAGTCCCCGAGAGAATTTCAGTGTTCGAAAGGCTCGGCACCGAAACGCCAAAACCAAGGCATAGGCGCTTCCGGCAAAGAAGAACAGTGGTTAAGGATGGAGAATTTCCGAAGGTCACCGCCAACATGACCAGCAAAGAGACATCGACACAGATTGATCTCAAATCGTTTCTGGAAGCGTCCCGGCGTGTAACCCGTCTGCAGTCCGGAGCCATCGCACGAGGAACTTATGGTAGGGTTCGGATAAGATTGCCTTCGGAAGATGAAGAATCGGATTCCTGCTCTGCTGTCGCATCGGACAATACAGTGTCCAGCGAAGGACAACCCCGCGAGTCATTCATGATAGGCGCGGAAGAAATGGCCAAAATGCTTGAAGACGCTTTGGCTAAGCAGAAAGAAAGTTTTAAATTCGAGATGGAGACGGCCATGCAGCAGATGAGAGAGATGCATGAACAGCAAATCCAAGCATTCAGGAACCAACAAGGTGAACCAAGCCACCGTAACCAGGTTGCTCAGGAAAAGGAGCACGCGGATGGGGATGAAGCTCACAATGCCAATAACCCTCCCATCAATGCAGGGGGTGGTAGTGAGGATGCCAACGGGGATACAAGTGAAGACTTGAAGATCAAAAGCCTCGAGAGTAAAATCAATACGTTGCTGTCTGCTCAAGAGGTAAAGAAAACGGGCATTCCTTGTCCATACCCGAGGGAATGGGAATCAATCCCCTATCCGGCGAAGTTTAGTCTAATCAACTTCACGCCGTTCGATGGAAGGGGTTCCCCCACCCAGCATTTGATTTATTTCAAATCGCACCTGGGTGCTATCTCTGGGAACGAGCCTCTGATGGTGCGGTCATTCGTCGGCACTCTTCGCGGAGCTGCCTTCGATTGGTATCGTCGCCTCAAGCCAGGAAGCGTGAACAGCTGGGATGACATGGAGACGAAGTTCCTTGCAAATTTCTTCGACGACGACACCGAGATCTCTATCGGATCGTTGCTCGACGAGAAACAAAAAGACGGGGAGTTAGTCGACACCTTCGTCAAAAGGTTCCGGAACAAGGCGATGAATTGCCGGGACCCGATCACCGAGGAATTCATTCTCCAGACTTGCCACAACAACCTCGCATTGGACGTATTGGAGGCAATGGGGACAGCACCGTCTGACACTTGGAAGGATCTGAAGGTGCGCGGTGAACAAGCCGAACGCTTCCTTAAAAGGAAGAAGGCCGAAAGGAACCAACCGACGGTTAATCTGCTGGACTCAAACTTCGCTTCCCGTGGTAAGGGCAAAGCACCTGCAGCTGCTGGTGGTGCTAATCAAGCGTCACAACAGCAATCCCGAAGGCAGCAGAAGACTTCGGGTCCGAGACTCCAGAGAGAGTATTCCTTCAAGGACGAAGACGTTCCAACCATCTTCGAATCGCTCCTCGAAGGCAACAAGATCAAGCTACCACCTATCACGAATCAGGAGGAAGCTGATAACACTACGGACCCAAAGTACTGTGCATACCACAGAAGGGTTGTTCATCCCACCAAGGATTGCTTTGCTCTCAGGAATAGCATTCAGACCTTGGTCGAAGCCGGCGTTATAACGCTAAGGTAAGCCAAATAAAAACGGCAAAACTCCGACCGGTATAAGAGTATAAACTGCTTCCTGACACTCCAAAGAGTATACGAGTATAAACTGTTTCTCAATCCTCCGACCGGTATAAGAGGTTAAACTACTCCCTGATACTCCAATAGGTATATGAGTCTAAACTGTTTCCCCACTTTTGACGGGAAGTTCCTGGAGAATATTAAGCTAATATTCTTAAGGATAACCCGGTTAGGTAACTGATAATAATGTCCGAACCAGTTCCGCAGAGGAAACTGGGGGTGGACGATTTATGTAACGGAAGTTCCCAAAAACCACAGCAATGTAATGAATAAGAACTCCCATTCAAATTCTCACCGTGTCTGTGCACTCAACACTCTCTCTGTTAGAGTCTGGACGTAAAATTCCCAATTGGTCAAACCTTCTTACAGTTAGGACCACAGTCAAAATCCCCTCTCGATTCCCCAATGAACGAGAGGTCCACTTTTAAAATCGAGTGATCAAACCTTCCTACAGTTAGGGTCACCTCAAACTCCCATTTGGCCAAACCTTCCTACAGTTAGGGTCAAAACCATAATCCACTCTCGATAAACGAGAAATTCGCCTTTAGTTCGGTAATCAAACCTTCTGACAGTTAGGATTATCCAAATTTTTTGAGAGTGGAGATCCCACTCTTAGTTTCACCTTTCCGGATTCTGGGGGTGGAGATCCCACCTCGAGTCTCTTTTCCAGCTGAAGGTAGAATATAAAATTCTTCTTCTTCAGTGTCGGGAGATAGAATATAAAATTCTTCCTCTCCCATTTCGGGTTCGTCTTTGCCCCAAGAGAAGACACCGCCTTTTTCAACTCTCAAAATCTGTGCCTCACAGGTATAGGGAATTTTATCCCGAATCCTAAGTAAGGATAAGTCAACGCCTAACACACGTTGCCGGTTTAGTCTTTTTCCGTACAAAAAGACACCAAGGTTCGATTCTGGGGTATTCTATCCTGAAACCTAAGCAAGGATAAGTCTGTGCCTAACCCGCGCTGCCGGTTAGTTCTTAACCGTTGAAAAGAACATCCGTCCACATATTCAACATTGTGGCAGGTTGTTATTAATAACACCAAAATCCATGCCTTACACGCATGGGGAATTTCATCCTGAATCCTAAGAAAGGATATGCCGACGCCTAACACGCGTCGCCGGTTTAGTCTTTTACCGATTGAAAAAGACACCAGAGTTCGATTCTGGGGTATCTCATCCCGAAGCCTAAGTAGGGATAAGTCAACGTCTAATACACGTTGCCGGGTAGCCTATTCCCGTAACAATGGCGAAGCCTATGTATTCAACATCATAGCACAAAGTCTCAGAGAATTCACTCTCTTAGCACAACGTTACATGCGGAACGGATTTAGACAATCCGCATGCTAGCCCGACTCAAACGGTAGTCGGTAAAGGCTAATCAAACCCGTTGAAGGCTGGGGGTTAGCCAAAAACCCTAAAGTCAACGCCTAACACGCGTCGCCGGGTAGTCTATTCCCGTGAGAAAGACGAAGTCTACGTATTCAATATCGTAGCACTAAAAGGGTTAACTCTTTTAGCTTAACGTCACATGCGGAACGGACTTGAACAATCCGCATGCTAGCCCGACTCAAACGGTAGTCGGTAAAGGCTCATCAAACCCGTTAATGGCTGAGGGTTTGCCAAAAATCCTATAAATACGAGAGTCACTGACGCATCAGCTTCATTAGTTGGTCTCGTGACTTGAGCATCCAACGACGTTCGAAACCCTAGGGTTAACGCCGGTCAACGCGTAACCCTAGGTCAACGCCAGTCAACGCGTTGCAAGCAAAAAATTCAACGTACGACGTCCAAAACCCTAAGGTCAACGCCGGACAACGCGTGACCCTAGGTCAACGCCTATCAATGCGTTGCAATGAAAGAACTAACACTCCGAAGAGTATATGAGTATAAACTGCTTCTCATTCCTCCAACAGGTGCATGAGTTTAAACTGCTTCTTAAATACTCCAATAAGGTATATGAGTATAAACTATTCCCTAATTTTTGAGAAGTTCCTGGAGAATGTTTTCTATAAATATTCTTAAGGATAACTCAAACAATAAGACGCCGGACAACGCGTTGCAGATAAAGACTCGACGCCAACAATCGATGGTCAGCTAAATCAGGAACCGACTTCAAAGTTCAAAATTCCGACAACGGTCAGACAATAAATGCAGCACCGAAACTCTTTCAGACATTCGACAAAGCACCGAATAGCCTGGAGAATTGAAGGAATCAAGAACGGAAGTCATTCCAAGATCCCATTACACCGACTGAAGGTTGGGACAAGCATATCCAAAGTATTCCAGACTCTTCTATAAAATAACGAGACTAAAATACTTTGGAGGGGGTATCTGTAGGCATATAAAATTGCTTATAGGTCCCTTAGCTCAGCTCGGAACAAACCGACAAACCAATAAGGCAACGAGATTGACTAATCGCACGCAAGCAACGGAATACGTCCATTCGCGTGCGGGATCAAGCTAAGTGTTCGAAGAGTCAACGAGTCATCCAACCAAGGGCATACTCGGACAAATCACGATCGAATCAAGATCGGTTTCGGACTCGAACTCAGAAGTGGATTTACTGCCTAATCGGGATCCGGAATTACTGCCAAATCAGGAATCAAATCAGAGTCTGGATCAACTGAATCACGGACAGAACCCAAAGGTGGAAAACAGCAGAAAACCAAACACCCGGAGGGGCTCGGAAACCAAGTCACCGAGGCGGCTCACCGAGCCACCAAGGTGGCTCGGTGGCCGAGCCACCAAGTGGTGGCTCGGCCGAGCCACCTAAGTGGCTCGGTGGCCGAGCCACCTTGGGGTGGCTCGGCCACCTCCGAGCCACCAAATGGTGGCTCGGAGGCCGAGCCACCTCCTTGGTGGCTCGGCGGCCACCAAGGTGGCTCGGCCACCACCGAGCCACCAGGTGGTGGCTCGGTGGCCGAGCCACCTATTGGTGGCTCGGTGGCCGCCGAGCCACCTAGGTGGCCGGCCACACTGTGCCCAAGGCACAGTGAGGGTAGCCTATAAATAGGCCACCCCCTTGTTCATTTGAGAGGGTTGGATTTTGGAGGAGGCGAAGCCCTGCAGGATTGGAGACTCAGATCTAAAAAAGATCTCAACTTTGGGACATCAAGGACTTGCTCATCCAGATCTGGTGCTCGGCGACCGTCAACGCCAAATAAGGCAGGTGTTCGAGAGGACC